AACTATGGTGTGGCTACTGGGGGATGGATTTACAGAACTACCACATTATGTTATTTAAAACATCTGACTTTCAACAAAATGCATGACCTATACAAAGAAACAGGAAAGCAGCTACATGAAAGAAGCTTAAAGGTACCAAGAGGAAAACAACAAAAAATGTACAAAGGTCCCTCAATAAAATGAACTAACTTTTAAAAAAAAATTTATTGATCAAGGTATTACATATGTGTCCTTATTCTCCCCCCCCCCCTCCCCATTGCATCCCCCAAACCCCCACTCATGCCTTCATCCTCCTGGTGTCTGTGTCCATTAGACTTATATACATGCATACAAGTCCTTTGGTTGATCTCTCCCCCTCATCCCACCCTCCCCTACCTTCCCTCTGAAGTTTCATGGTCTGATTGATATTTCTCTGTCTCTGGATCTGTTCTTGTTCACCAGTTTATGTTGTTCATTATATTCCACAAATAAGTGAGATCATGTGATATTTATCTTTCTCTGACTGACTTATTTCACTTAGCATAATGGTCTCAAAAAATGAGCTAACTTTTATAAAAAAACTATGGAGCCCAGGAGGCAGCATGATGACTTAAGCAAAGCATTAAAAAAAAAATCAACTAAAAAATTCTATGTCTACCAAAACTATCCTTCAAAAATAAAGAAGAAATTAAAGCATTCTCAAATAAACAAAATTTGAGAAAATTTATTGCCAGCAGACATTTCCTATAAGAAAACACAATGAAGTCCTTCAGAATGATAAAAGATATCAACCAGTAACAAAATTACACAAAGATATAATGAGCACTGGAAAAGGTAACTAAATACATAAATATCAAAGACAGTATAAATGTATTTTTCTTTATAATTTTTTATTCTCCCATATGATCTTAAAAGAACTGCATAATAAAGCAATTGTCATAAAACTGTGATGCTGGGCTTATAGAATATCAAGATGTAATTCCTTTGACAATAATAACACAAAGTTGAAGGTAGATAGCAGACCTTTACTTAAACTGACCCCATCCCCAAGAGAGGATGTAGCAGCTATGTTGGAGCAAAATTGTGGTATACTGTTAAGATTAGTTGGTATTTCTCCTAATTATGCAGTCTTTAAATTAAGTTATTAATTGTAATTTCCATGAGAGCCAATTAAAAAAAAACCTTATGAAAGCAAAAGAAACAATAAGAAAATTAAAATGGTATTCTATCAACTGTTTATTTAATACAGAAGAAAACAGTAATGAAGGAACAAAAAGGAAATGAGATATGTAGAAAGCAAATAGGAAATAAGATGTGACCTAACTTATCAGTAAGTACATTGATGACAAATGTATTTCACATCCATTCAGTAGGCAGAGATTGGAGAGTGGATTAAAAAAATAGTCTGATTATATACTGTCTACAGAAGACACGTTAGATTCAAAGACACAAACAGTTGAAAGATATCGACTACAGAAAGATTGATGCAAAAAGATATACCAGCAAAAAGCAACCACAAGACAGCTGAAGTTGCTCTACCAATATCATGCAAGATAGACTTTAAAACAAAAAATGTAACTAGAGCTAAAGAGGAACAATTTATAATGATAAAGAGTCCATACATTTGGAGATATATTAATTATAAGCATATATGCACTTAACAACAGAGCTCAAAAAAATATATATATGGTTTTAAAACATGGCAGAACTAAAACTAAAGGTAGAGATAGATAATTCAACATTAAAAATGAGTGACCTCAGTAAGTTAAAAAGAGTAGAAGCCATGCAAAGTATGTTTTTTTAACTGCAATGAAATAAAATTAAAAACAGAAGGAATGTAGGGAAGGTGTAAAATGTGGAGATTAAGCAACATCCTCCTAAATAATCAATATAGTTTAAAAAACACAAGGAAAATTAGAAAATTCTTTGAGATGAATGAAAATGAAAACACAAAATGGCCAAATTGCCAAAACTGGTCTGGCTCAGTGGTTAGACCTTTGGCCTGCGGACTGAAAGGTCCCAGGTTCGATTCCAATCAAGGGCATGTACCTTGGTTGCGGGCACATTCCCAGTAGGGAGTGTGCAAGAGGCAGCTGATCAATGTTTCTCTCTCATTGATGTTTCTAACTCTCTATCCCTCTCTCTTCCTCTCTGTAAAAAGTCAATAAAATATATTTTAAAAAAACACAAAAAACAAAATGGCCAAATTTACTGGGTGCCACTAAAGCAGTGCTTAGAGGGAAATGGATAGCTATAAAAATCTGTATTAATAAAGAAAAAAATTAAATCAATTATCTAATTTTTCACTCTAAAAAATTGGAAAAATAACACAGTAAACCCCAAACAAAGAAAATGATGGAATAATAAAGATTAGGGGGGGAGGGGGAAATGACATAGAGGTTAGAAATACAAAGAGAAAAACAGATGATTCCCAAGGTTATTTGAATAGATCAACAAAATTGGCAGACTGACCCCCTCCCCCAAAGAAGAAATACTCAAGTTACCAAAATTAAAATAAAAGAGAGGAGATCATTACCAATTCTATGGAAATGAAAAAAAGAATTATATGGAAATTCTATGCTAACAAATTAAATAACCTAGAAATAATTACTAAAGTATTCAGAGGTAATGGAGCATTAGGCCTGAAATTAACTTGTAACTAATTCAAGAAAAAAAAAGTTTTACAGTACTCACTATTTCTGTATGTATGAAATTATTTTAAAAAGAGAGAAAAATAAAAGAATGATACCATCAAGGTCACTATTCACAGCAAGGCTTATCATTGTAAGAAAGAAGGAATCTCGAAGTTCAACAATAATGGTTTACTTCTAATCAGTGGAAAAGTTCATTAATATACAGGTTTCAACATTTATACACGTGCACAAGCACAAATGCCTGGATTTGTGTTTACAGATGTAGAGCAGTGTCAGAATCAGCTGGAAGGCTAAGGTGTGGCTGTCGGAGTGGATGGCTGAGATAAAGAGAAGGTATTTGGAAGTGAGGAAGTCGAGGAACTGGAATGCACGATATTGGAAGAGTCTTACTTGAGGGCTTTGAGATTGTGTAAGATGATGGCAGGACTGAGGCTGTACAGAAAGACTGTAAGTTAGGTCCCAAGTCAGGGAAGAAGGCTTTAAGAAAGAAAGAAATGAACCTCAAAGAGGTTGGAGAATTAATGAAGTGATAGTGGAGAAGTACAGAGGAAGGACACGGATCCTAACCTTAAATATTTCTTAAGCACTGTGCCTAGCTGGCCTGATTCTGACATAGATTCAAAATTTTATGGAAGACTTCATAGCTAGAAATCAAAGGAAATTACATGAAGCCTGGTCTGCAATCGCTATGTCTCAGGAAATCAAATATGAAAGAGTTTTCTGTAATTGTTTTCTGATCTACTTTCAAGGAGAATAGGGGGAAAGAACAGAGTAATTGAGCTAACACTAATTTATTCTTCACACTTGTCTGTGAAATGATTTTATTTAAAATCCCTTTGAATGTTGTTGAATCTAATTCATTTGTGATTTTATTTAAATGCAACTGTTTACAAAGCTTTAACATATGAAGCAAATTACCTGTTACTTTATTCCTTTAATGTTATAACACTATATATACTATATATACAGGGGAGGCCAAAAGTAGGTTAATAATAATAATAAATATTATAATAAATAAATAATACAATAATAAACTGTCTTGTGTACTCATAATCGTAAACCTACTTTTGCCCACCCCAGTATATGTTTTGTACATTGTGCACATTCAAAAACATAAAAATGGTTCTATGAAAATATAGTGTAAACTTTATGGTTGCTAAGCTTGTTTCTCTGTCTCCATGCACCAGTCTCCACACACTTAATTTTAAAGATCTGTTATACTAGTAGAAGAATATTTTCTGGAAAGGGGGAATCTCAATTCCACTAGATGGTGATTATTATTGGCTTAATTGTTTTTTGAGGAATGATTCATTTAAATTACATTGTAATACCCCAAGTTATAACAAGATGATATATATTTGTATTTACCATTTACACTTAAACTACTAATTCTTATGGAAAGTTGTTTGTCATGCTTTTGCCCCTGTAGACTCTTATTAAATTGAAATCACTTCAAGATGAGTATGTATGCTCACTACACATACTTTTATTAAGTGGGGGAAGGAAATTATTTGGAATTCAAGTTTTCCCATGGGCTAAACAGTGCACAAGAACCAGCAGCTACAGAGGAAATCCAGCTTACTTTTGTCCTAATGCACCCAGAAGATTTCAAATCAATACTTAGCATTAATGTTTTAATTGAAAATTGACATTGCTATAATTGGAAGTGAGCATCAGCATCCTGCTGTTTAGGAGAGGGCTGTTTGGTTGGGAAGGCCATTATGCTGGAGAGCACAAACATTGGAAGAGCAAAACAAATCATTTGTTTCCTTGAGCAAGGACACAGAGTAAACACTTGAATTCCTGGTCAACTATAATTTGCTTCTAGAGCCAGCAAATTTGGCAACACTGCAGTTTAGATTTATAGCAGAGCACACACATAGCAGTAACTTTGAAAGCAAAATATATTAAAAAAAAAAAAAAAAGAAAAGAAAAAGAAAACAAGGAAAAAGTTACTAGTTCTTAAAATTTCCTCCCTCAACCTAAAAGCAAGGATGTATTCTTGCTGCCATGACCATGTTCCTCAGCGGCTCTTCCCAAATAAATACTCCTCCAGGAAATAAATGACATTTGAGTCTGGGTTATCAAAAATCCTTTATTTATTTATTTATTTATTTATTTATTTATTTATTTATTTTTGCCTGGGATTTTTAAATCAATATGTTCCCAGTCTGAACATTGTTTTTCTTTCCATCATGGTAAAAAATAAATGTAAAATATTGTATTGTTTTCTATATGCTTTCAATATCTTTTTAAAAAATACATTTATTGATTTTTTTTTTACAGAGAGGAAGGGAGAGGGATAGAGAGTTAGAAACATCCATCAGCTGCCTCCTGCACACCCCCTATTGGGGATGTGCCCGCCATCAAGGTACATGCCCTTGACAGGAATTGAACCCGGGACTCTTGAGTCCGTAGGCTAACATTCTACCCACTGAACCAAAGGTCACTATCTTAAAAAGTTCAGTCACTTCTTCAAATCCGCAAGAAAGGCACTCTCTCAGGTAACAGCCGGGGCTCAGTACCCGCTAAGGCACTCCCACCTCTTCCCTATCAGAAGAGGAGCTTCCAGTTCAGCTGTAGCTCCTGCGTGGAGCAGAGGGAGTTTAGGGGAAGGGAACTTCAGGAATCCTCAGTTCCATAGATAAGCCCTCTTCTCCGTTCCATTTTTCACTGAGAGTGAAAAACTGCTCACAACGAGTGCTCACTCACTGTCCCCTTTCACTATGTGACTTCGGAGTCCAAAGAGGACCCATCAGTGAGGCGCCATCTGCTCTGTTTTGCAGCCTGGACTTCACCCCGTTGCACAGTTTGCGGAACTGGAGCTCAGAGCAGTAGCCTGCGCACCACTCTCCACCGCAGGAGCGGCCAAAGGCCCTTTTCCTGGCCTAGAGGAAGGGCTTTTGTGAAAGCAGAGTTTGAAAAGCCCCAGCACTGTCATGGTCAAGATCACCAGCACTACCACTGCTATGCTCACAAGTATGAAGACCACGGTGGAGGAGGAGTCCAAACCACGGGGACTGGCAGAGGACAACGTGGAATTAGACGTGGGAATCACGCTTCCTGAAGAAGTGACGGTGGCCTCTGAGTTGGCTTGAGGGGACATCCGAAGGGTGGGCAGCGTGCTCTTTGCTGCCCACCCAGGGATCTCAGAAATGAATGTGACTGAACTGCCTTGTCCAGGGACCTGGGGCATCTCTCCTGGGTTGTCAGGGACCCTGGGTGACCATGTTCTCCTCGGCGTGGGGCTGGCTGCGGTGGCCAGCGGGGGCCTGGTGGGCACCATGGTTGCCCCCGGGTCCGGCTGTCCTTCTCCGTAGGTTACACAGGAGCGTCCGTCTCTCCCCAGCACGAAGCCCGCAGCACACTCGCAGACAAAGCCTTCCAAGTCGTCCAGGCAGTCAGAGAGCTCGGCGCATCTGCCTGCGCGGAGGTACCGCCCGGGGCAGGGACAGAGCGCAGCCCCGGGGGGCATCCCGTCCCAGCGAGCGCCGGCCCCGTCCACGATGCAGGTGGCCGTGGCCGCGGCGGGTGGCCGCCCGGGGCAGCGCGCACTCACCTCGGTGCCGGGCGGGCTGAAGGCCAGCGCCGCGCTGTGCAGCTGGAAGGGCGCGCGGAAGCTCAGGGCGGAGGCGGCGCCGGGGCGCGGCGCGGGGCACAGGCCCTCGAAGCGGTACTTGCACAGGTAGCCGTGGGCGCGCAGGTGGCAGCGCAGCTCCCTCCAGCCCGCGGGCTCCGCGCCCTCGGCGGCCTGCAGCGCCGCGCAGGCCCGCACCACGCAGGAGCGCTGCGGCTCCAGCACCCACGGCAGCGTCTCGTTTTCCAGCCCGTCCACGTCCACATCGTCGACGTCGGGGCTCACCCAGGAGAAACCCCGCAGCGGCTCGCCCTCCAGGGTGCACTCGGACGGCCTGCGCTCCAGCGCCACCCAGAACAGAAGGTCCTTGGAGCCGCCTCCAGGCCCCGGGCCCGCGCGCAGGAGGGCCAGCACCTCGCGGAGCTCCGCGCCCCCGCGCACCGTGCTGAGCGCCCCGCCGCGCAGGCTGCAGGCCTCCTGGGCCGCCGGCCGCTTGATGCCGGCGTGGTGCAGGCTGTAGCAGGCCCCCGCGGCGGAGCAGCCCGCGCGGTCGGCGGTGGGGTGCTCGCCACGGCCGGGCCGGGTCCAGAGCGCCTGCCAGAGGAGGCACAGCGTGAGCGCCGGCCTCATCCTGGAGGCCCCGCGCGCAGCTGCTCCCCACTGGGCTCCGTCCCGCCCGAGGGCTCCGAGGTGTCCCTAAGCGCGGTCACCGCCCTCCACAGCGGGCTCTACCCTTCCTTCCCCCGCCCGCCCGCCCCCACTCCCACCCCCAGCCCCACCCCCAACCTCCAAGAACCCCCACCAGGGTCCTGGCAGCAAACAGGCTTCCCTTAGGCCGAGACAGGAAATGTGCCGGGAGCTCTGCCAGCGCCGGTGCAGCCCTGATTTATGCTGGGGTCAGGCACACAGCTGGCGCGGGGCGCAGGGAACGCAGTCCACCAGGAGGTCAAACACCCTGCTAAGAGCAAGAAGGGAAGAAACCCGATGCTTGGGCGGGGGCCTGGGGGGGAGGTACGGGAATGGTAGTGGAGCGGGGGGGGGGGGGGGGGGGGGGGAGAGTTTAGGGAGTTTTAGAACCTTAAATCCCCAAACACTTTGGTGAACATGGACAGGAAGGGCTGGAGAAGAGGAACTCGCCCCCGGCCCACGCCCGCCCATTGTGCTTCATCCGGAGCCTTGGTGTTGGAACCACAGTTGGTAAAAGGCTCCAGCTTCCATCAGGCCTGCTACTAAATGGGCAGAATCCTGTGGGAAATATAAACATCTCTTTTCTCCCGGAGGCCGCACTATTTAACCGCCGGTCTGTCGCTGGGCTCTGCTTGTCTGCTCTATCCAAGGAGACTCAGGTGTCCTGTTAGTGAAAGAATGAGAGTTCCTTTGGGGTATCTTAGTGGGGAGTCCTGCTTTTTGGGTGAGCAGTTGCCTTAAACGTTTGTTTTTCGCTTCCATTTGTTTCTCTTGGGAGTGGCCCATGCTGGTTCATTGAGGAAAGGAGAAATGTAGGCCCAAATAGGAAAAGGCCATAGGTCTTTACCCTTGTTAGGTTGCTAGTTCCTTATCACTATATTATTTCATGACTTCTTCCAGTTTACAGATTATATATAAATGAATTCATGGTCATATTAATGTTTGAGAACAACTCCTCCACCTCTAATTTTATCCTTGAACTATTTCACATTATCTTCTCCTAGGATTTAGTGTCAATATTTGCACCATTACGTTGTAGAAGTCACCTTTAAGGGTCACTAGAGTTCAATAGCCTAAAGAAGTGAAAATATTTATAACATTGTAATGCATATTTAATATTGTAAGAAAAATATTAAACTCCACAACTTAAAAACTGAGTGAGTCAATTTCTTTAGAGTTCCAACGGGTGTTCTGTTTAAATATAAACATTTCAACTCAGTTGAGAGTGGGTAGGAATTAAAGACAAGTGAAGAAAAGAAAGGTTAAACACTGCACTGTCTATGAAAGAATTTTCTAGTTAGCAAATTAAGCAATTCTACATCATTTTGAGAAATAAATGCTGTAATCAGAAATAGAATTTCAAGAAAGCCCTCTTAAACGTGCATGATGCTTTTGCATATCTGTATTCAGAATGAAAGTTGCCATTCCATGAATAACGCATACCACATTTTAAAACTCCCTTTGCTTTCCTGAATGCTGCTGTCCAGGTTACTGAGGAGGAGGAGGAAGTAAGGTTTCAGGATCACATTTGTATGTTCCCACCTCATTTTTACCACCGCTTTCATTTTTCTGCTCTTAGAAAGCCCATGTATCTTAACAAAAGATATAAATACCAGGAATCATCATCACACTTACCTTGTTTTTGCTCACTGAGGAGTTTTGACTCAGGATTTCTATTCTATCCTCACTCTTTCCCAGTTGAAAGGACATTCATTAGTCCTTCATTTCAGATGTCTTAGAATAACCTTAAACATGACTTTGCATTTTAATTAACTAATGTCTTACAAGAAAGGAACATGAAAATTTAGAAATCTAGTTGAATGGATTTTTAAAATACTTAATCACTTGGGCCAGTTCTGTATGCTTTTGTAATCTAATGATTATATATTTGTAAATGTATCCATATAGCATTGCATATTTTAATAATATAAAACATTTTATAAACCTAAGTAGTCAATAGAAATATTTTAGATATTTTTAGAATCACTTGGTATGAGATGAGGTTTCTAGATTGAGGGAGAATGACTGACTGGAAAGCTGAGAACAAATACATGATCTCACACCCTGACATTCTGCCTAGGGAGGTGGGATATAAGAAGGGAACATAGTGGCTAGAATGATTCCATATCAGGGTCCTAACCATGCTTACAATGATATGAGAGAAAAGTGAGGGGGGAAAAATTAGCTCAAGGTAATTTTTTACCATTTTGTGACTAATTACTTTATACTGATTTACATACCATTAAATTGAGATCAAAGGAGCAATGAACATAAGATTCTGGGTGATGGATCCTTTTGGTGAGAGTGAGGAGGGGGGATAGATTGGTGAGGGAGCCAAGGGTTGGATGTGGACTGTTGCTGGAGTCCTCCTAGCTTTTGTTTTGGATAGTGGATTTATGGATGATTATTCCACTATGAAAAAAATAATTAAATAATTTTAAATGAATAAAAGTTGCTATATCTAGACAAATGATGAAAGAATAACATGAACGAAATATTATAATTAGTCTAATTCTGAGCAGCTGAATTCCACCATGTAAAGTCAAAATAAAATCAAGATGTGGATGTAGTTTTCTTTACTATCCAAATTTATGGGTGAAGCATTTTTAAATTTAAGCCAATTTTTATTCTAAAAAAAATACAATTGGTAAAATATTTTCCCTGTGTTTTTAGACTTTTCAGACAAACTGCATATTATTAGTAAGAATCACATATGGCATTTATTTATTTATACAGTATTCATTTATAGGCTAACCAAGAAATGTATAAAGAAGTATATGAGATAATATATAAAGAACACATTTACTCCAGCATTTTCAATTTGATTATTAATTTAAAGTATTAGAAACATAGATATAGAAATATAACATTTTAGAAATCATATCAAATTTATAATTTTTTTTAAAGTATATTTTACTGATTTTTTACAGAGAGGAAAAGAGAGAGACAGAGAGTTAGAAACATCGATGAGAGAGAATCATCAATCAGCTGCCTCTTGCACCCCCCCCACTGGGGATGTGCCCGCAACCAAGGTGTGGATGTGCCCTTAACTGGAATCGAACCCAGGACCCTTCAGTCCACAGGCTGACGCTCTATCCACTGAGCCAAACCGGTTTCGACATAAATTGTTGATCCTCTCTGAATAACTTCTATGATTACTGAGAGATAATAACAGCTGGCTCTTCACATATTTCTGAGTTCACTTAAATATAAAAAGACTTTAGAAGAAATTGAAAAGAAGACAGCATCCCAATAGGTCAGTATAATGCTCAGTGTTGTGGGGTCGAACCCTGGGTTCAAAATAAGACCACTGGAGGCTGATGACTGATTAAAAAAAAAAAAAAAAAGCAGGCAAGGATTTATTGAACTGGCCAGGACGGCCACAAGAGCAACACAGGCAGGTGGCCACATCATGACCACACAGTTCCAGGTGTCTGCAGTCTTTTTAAAGGTCCAAACCACAGGAATTTTCCTTTGTTCTCAATTCTCAATTCTAAAGGCTGGGGACAGCCCCCAGGGGCCATTGGAATGTGGCCCTATCTTGTGATAGCCCATAAGCAGAGCTCAGTGGTTAATCTTTAAAGGTTATCTACAGTTTCTACCCCTGAAGCTACTGAGTCAGTGGGAATCAATCTCCTATCTCCTGTAGTTCTGGTCCCAGGCACAGGAAAATTGCCTTAGCCTCCAGGTCTCCACCTGGAAGCTGAGGTAACTACCCTATGTTTAAGCAGGTGCAGAAGCCAGAATAGCACAGTTAAAATTCAAACAGCAGTTTTTACCCAAGTATGGTTGCTACCATATTTCACTCAGAAGCTAATCTGTAAAGACTAAATACATTGTGGAGATTCCTAGCTTATTATAATTGTTTTGGACCTTAACAAAATGATTTATATATATATATCTATATATATTTATATATATATATATATTTTTTTTTTTAAAAAATATATTTTATTGATTTTGTACAGAGAGAAAGGGATAGAGATAGAGAGTTAGAAACATCGATGAGAGAGAGTCATCGATCAGTTGCCTCTTGCACACCCCCTACTGGGGATATGCCTGCAACCAAGGTACATGCCCTTGACTGGAATCGAACCCAGGTCCCTTCAGTCCCCAAGCTGACGCTCTATCCATTGAGCTAAACCGGTCCCGGCAATATTTTTATATTTTTAACAGAAATTTTTAAATTTTATTTCTCAAATGTCCATGAAGTGCTTAATGAATGACAAAATATGGTAATTTTATTTGGTGAAAACACAACTTCTAACCATCATTATATACATATTCTAAAGAGGATATATGGTTTGACTCTTAACACAAAAGATTATATAGGCTAATAACCTAACATATTTATACACATCTGAATAAAAACTTATTTTCGATGGCATTATATCTAAGACATACTCACACGCATATACAGTCAGTCATTTCAGAATGTATGTCATAATGATAGGTATTCCTCTGGCTTAGTTAACAACATGACTAACAGATATAAGAAATTTTAAAAAAACATTAAATTTCACTTTGTTTATTCAAACTGCTCTCTAAATAGAGACAGTGTTGAACATATTCCATGTGCATCGAATGTAATGTAAAATTTTTCTTTGTTGCCATTACAGAATTAGTACATTTCTCCATCGCCAAGTTTATAATGAAGAAATAATGGAGGAATGACTCATGCACACAAAAGGCTTTTTATAATCCAAATGCCTAACAAGTTCTAAAGTATAAGTGTTTATCCTACTACCAAGATATTTTTTAAAAATTTCTACAAAGCTGGTTTATGGGCCACTGTAGAAAATCAGTCCCAATACTCGGTCACACAATAATACACACACACACACACACACACACACCCCTCACCCAGCCCCTTCACACTTTTTGGCAGATGACAATAAAAGTTAAACTTGTAGGGTTTGTTAACCTCATCCAGCAAACAAACTACAGCTGTATGGAGGTGGGGAAGTGGTGGGCGGGTTGCAGACTGTCTCCTTAGTTAAAATTTAGCGTTGATGTGATCTCTGGTATCAGGTGCACAGATCTTGGAGTTCT